AGTATATGGTAAATGAATGAAGGTAGAGAAAAAATGTCTTTGGTTTTTGATTGGTCCTTAAATGCCTCGACTTAGAAACTGATATACATATACCTCCATCCAAACCTGGGAGCACTCGGAGGCAGCGAACTGAGAGGCAGAAGAGAGGACTCAGAGGGCGGCAAATTCTGTCGCCTGCTTTGAGAGCACGGACGCTCTGCAGTCCTGGCCACCGCCCTGCTCCCTCTGGGACTCGGGGTCTCGCACAGTAAAGTGACTCTGTTGACTAGATCAAGTTTTTCATACTCGACCACCAGCCACAGCAAGAAATTGTTTTTCCTTTTTTTTTTTTTGGCCGTACCACGTGAGTGGCAAGTGGAATTTCCTTGGCCAGGGCTTGAACCTGTGCCCCTACAGTGGAAGGATGGAGTCTTAACTCCTGCACCACCAGGGAAGTCCCAAGAAAATAATTTTTCATCATGACCTAGCACACATTTGCTTATATCTGAAACTCCTTGAATACTCACCCTTTTTTTGTGTAATGCACTCTACTTCCTACTGTACTTTCTCTTATATTTATTATGTATGTATTAATTTATTAAGTGCCATGCCACCTCATTTGGTAATTTCTTAAAAAAAAAAAAACGTATTTATTTGGTTGCGCCAGGTCTTAGTTGAGGCATGTGGGACCTAGTTCCCTGATCAGGGATCGAACCCAGGCCCCCCCACTCTGAAAGTGCAGAGTCCCAGCCACTGGAAAAGTCCTTCCTTTGGTCATTTTACAGGATTCCCTCTGGGCAGCTGAGGGGGCTTGTGAGTGAGAAACGTTCTTTTTCAGAGCTTCAGAGGCTGCCACATCTAAGAGAGTGACAGTGCTCTGGTTTTCCTTAGGATCCCCACCTAAGTTGTAGATGAAGCCTTAACTGGCCTCTTAATTTATCTTTTCCTGTAAAAAAACTCATGACATTTCCTAACCAGTTCTCCCACTCCTTGAAGTGGAGAGTTGGTCTGGTTAATACTGAAAAATTTTTTTCCTGATATTAACCTAGAAAAAAACATAAAACCTCATCTCTTTTCTGTGGGCTGTGCTGCAATGTTTACACGGTTCGGGCTGACCCTGTGTCCTTCAAGCACGGGAAAGAGTGGGGTGACTTAGGATTTTACAGCTTGACATGTGCCAGGGCAGACAGGCAGCCTGTAAGCAAAAGCAAGAAGTACCCAGTAAAATACTTTGTTTGCACACATGCAAATGCATGGAAATTTATATGGCAAGGTCTGAATTCCAAAATTCGTTTTTTAATTAAAACACCCAACCAAATGCATAAAACCTCACAAAATGAGTGTAGTGGAAATGTCTTCTCTTCTATTTTTAGACTGAAATATGAAGCCCATAAAAGCGAGGCTATCATGAATCTTTATGTTTGGGTAAAGTGACTTATAACCGGGGGTGGGTGGGGGAAGAAGTCTCCACACAAGCCACATCTAACAGTGGTAAACAGTTTTTATTCAGGCAATGGAACATGGAAAAAATATATTAGTAATCATTATAATAATTTCATTTGTGTGAGTATAACTTTTACAAATATTTACCTGACATATAAAAGGGAAATCACTTGTGCATATAAAATTTATGTTGATGATTATTCCACACAACACAGTCCTGACAGCAGTAGTCAACGCAGCGTTGGATTCCTCCGGACGAGGCTCCTCACACATTTCATGGCACCCATGGGGACACAGTGGAAGCAGATGTGCAATTAATTAACATGACTTGTTGGCACATTAGTAAGTACACAGGGGTGTCTACTGGCAAACACACACTTGCTACAAGCGACACTGAAAAGTTTGCAACCTCTGAGATTTGAAAGAAATGCCTGGACCCTGTCTCACCGGGTGGAGGACCAAGCTCGAGGCTGAGGGTGTAAAACCTGCAGACCACCCTGAACTGGCGGGGGTGTGGGGAAGGCTGGGGGGTGGTTTCAGAGCTCACATTTTTATATGTCCCCTTGAAAATTATCCAGAGAGCATCACTTAACAGCGGGACAGGGAGATACTTTGTGGAGCACATTTCAGATGCCACTAAAAGGCAGAGGGGGAGAAAAGTGGCATTTTTATTATTCGAAAGTGACGAATGGGTACTGGGAAGGTTCAGGCCATACCTCAGCGCCATGCCTGGCCTTCGCCGCCTCAGTCAGAGGGCTGGGTGGACGACTGCCATGGCCAGCATCACTCGCCCCATCTCCATGGTACAACTATAACCAGAGGGTGTGTACAGATATGTGTGTGTGTGTATATAGTAGCTGTAACCATATTATAGTTAATAAAGTCATTCCTTAGGAATCTTGTTAGTCCAAATCTAACTGCATGCTAAGAGGCACAGAAATGGGATTGCATTTGGACAAAAAAAAACTATGAAAAGTGCAATCTTTAGTCTCCAGAATGCTAGCTCTGGGCACTAGGGAGGGAGTCTTCCCCGGAAAGTGTCATTCATACGACCTTCCAGAGGAGATCCTTAGAGAGGGGGCTCTAATACCTCTATTCCTTTGCTTTTCTACATGGGAGACTGAAGGTTTGAGAGACAGACTGCTTTCTTCAAGTCACTGGGATCTGGAGGCCAGTCAAACCTTTTTGGACAGAAGTCTCCTTGAAATACTTCTTCATGAAAAGCTTTGAAGAAGATGACCCTATAGACCTTTGGCTTGACATCCTGGGATTCCCAGACTGTTATTTGTTCTTTAATAAGGAAATAATAATCTGCAATTTTTTCAATTCTTCAGAATATATACATCTTGTCTTTACAATGCTTTGCCTGAATCATTGAATCCTTCCAACCTCTAGTTTCTCTCTTCCCAACAAGAGAATAAAGTAAGAAACCACCCAAGTCCAAGAGCAAACTTGCACGGTCAACAAAACTACAAAGACCACCAGTCGTGGACGATTCACGAGACAGCTACGAACTGCAGCAAAAGACCAAAAGGGAAAAAGAAAAAACGGAGCTTTAGGGATTTTACTCCACTGAAAAGGACATGCTGGATGATTTCCAGTTAGTGCACTCAGACTCGCCAAACTCCCGTTCCTTGCAACTCCGCCTTGAGCTTCAGAGTCATCGAGTCTGTTACCTGTTGGTACCATGACTGCTTCCCTCTGGCTGTGCTGAGTCAGCCCAGGGCTATCTGGGGCAGTTCACTCTCCCAGCTTACAACCAGTCAGGATGAATCCGGGACCCAGCTAAAAAGTGTCCAGGTATTTGTGTGAGACTTGCAGAAAGCGTGGGATGGGAAGAAAGGGTAACTGGCTGGTGAGAAGAGCTGACTTGAGCCATCCTTCAAAACCCAGTGTGAACCTTTCCTTGGACTCCGTGCCAGCTGGGAAGGCTGCCAGGTCCTCGGCATTTCTCACGGTCACGTGCTTCTGCACTTCCTAATCTGGGCTGGGTCTGAGGACACTAGAAGCCATGAGCAAAGTGGGCTTCTCACTGTTTCCAGGAGCATCTCCAAACAAAGGAAATGTCACGAGGTCTGTCAATGGCTTAGCCAACCAAGTGACGGACTGAGGAGTCTGGTTACATCAGATCCTCCCATTAAAACACTTCTCGGTAAAGACCAGCTGCACTTTGGCAAACTCAGAAATTAAAAAACAAAAACAAAAAACGGCTCTGGATCCACAGCCTTAAGCAGACCACTCACGCTCCCAAACCACTGTCCAGGCCAGCAGCTTTTTCTCATTTCCCTGTCATGTTTGTCACGGGGTGAATTACTGCCCAATTCACAAGTAATCTGGCCCACTGGTGTTTTGGAGCAAAACTCTAGGCTATATTCTTATTCCCCAGAGTAGGTCTCTTTCCCTTGGTTTTTTAAATAAACATACTTCGTTCTGCTCAGTATACTCTCTTGATGTGACAGTTGTACCTGCTACATTTTTCTTCCTGCAGGAGACTATCCACCCATTAAATCAGAAGGAAGACCATTTTCTCGTAATGGCCATGGCAGAGTGGCCAGTGGCAAACGTTACTTAATGTGGGCCTTTTCGCTTTCCTCATGCAGTGGCTTTCCTCAGCAGGGTCTAGTTTCTCTGGGGTCTCTTCCCACTAGCGTGCTCAGGAAGGATTGTCATCACCTCTGTTTCAAGACACAGCTACTTTTTTCTCTTTCAACACAAGCAAGAAGCCTAAAAAAAGAGGACTGTGGGATTATAATGGAGACCATGATAATAAGCCTTTCATGCTTATTATGAAATAATAAGAGCAATATGAAACAAGTACACACAGATACGTCACCAAAACACAGCAGCGAAGAGGTTTAGCAACGTCTCTTCCTGCAGAAGTGAGTTTCTCCAGTCGTGAAGAGCTGGAAGAGGGTGTGGTCGCACCGCCTGAGACCCCGTTCCTCCAGGGCAAACGCTACAGCAGGGCACTCACTGCGAACCGAGGGGACTGCTTCCAGGGCCCGAATGATTGTCACATCACTTCTCCAAACACAGATCATGTCTGCTTTTCTGGTTTGTTGTTGCTTTTTTTTTTTAGTACAAAATGTTAAAGACAGTAGGCTTTAAAATACAGCCTAAGCACCAATTTTGGGAAATGCATATCAGTAAAAAGGGACTTCTGGCTTTAAAAGACATTACTGACCTCCGTGGGGCTAAAGATTGCACCCGTGTGAACAGTACAACGCTAAAGAAAAGGTCACCTTAAGAAAGCAAGGGAGGGTCTCCATGAGGCACAATTCATTGCTGAAGTTGTATCATGCAGTAGTTTTACAGGAAAAGTACCACAACTTACGTGTACTGGAGATAACACATGTCACCATGAAGACGCTCCGGGTGTTCAGGTTAAGACAAACAAACGCTTTAAGATGCCTGCGTGGATTTGGTTTTGCCTATTGAACGGGAGGGGGTTCACACGGGAAATTTCCATTCGGGGGTTAAGGTTCCCCGCCACTCTGAATGGAGCCCAGAACAGCTTGAGGAATTTGGTTTTGTGAGTAGGGGTCTGCTCCCTCCACCAATATTCAAACAGCTGTGGTTTAAAAATACTCAAAATGCACTGATTTGGGGAGTGACTCGTGATTTTCCTGCCCGTTTGGTTGAAAATTCTTAATTCTACTATCTTTCAGCTTGAAAGGATTTTTTTTGGGGGGGGTGCGTTGGGGGAAAAAAAATCTGAAGGATAATTCATCATACTTGCATAAATCCATCTGCTGCTTTACCTTACAGTTGTTAATGGGGTTCATTAAAGGAGGTCGTCTAAACCTTTTACAAGCAGACTTCCTTTGCATATTGCAAACAGAAAGACAATAGAGAGCAAACGTCACTCTGGTGCAACAAATGGAAGTAGAGGGGACTGATGGCTCCAGGACGGACTTGCCAAACCCCAGTTGTGAGGGAACAAAGGAGATCCCCTGGGTCTGAGGACTAACCCCAGAGGGGCGGCGGCACCTAGGCTGAGGGCCGTCCAGACGGGAGGACAGGATGCCGTGGTCAAGGGTCCCCCCTACGTGACACCTGAGTCTGAGGTTAGGAACCATGCCACACATGGAGTCTGCGGGTTTCACCTCTTCAACCCCCCAAATTCTGCAATTGGCAGAATTTGAGCCACGACTCTGTTTTCATATAGGGTTTTAAGTTTATGGAAATATGCCTTTCTGTAGAGATGTTCTTATTTGACTATGCTTCTGGGGGTTGGGGGGAACAAACCAGCATCACGTATAAATATGCACGTATGTGTGTGAGACAGTGAACGTGTCCATAAATAGGTACTCAACTGGAAGTAACAATAGGCCAGATCATCTCCTCAAATAAAACCACTAATGTTGAAAATTAAATGTAAAAGATGTAATAAATAAACTTAAAAAAATCAGGTGGACAGGATATGGTCCCAAGTAATAGCAATCAAATCATAAACTGAATGCACCTGGGCAAAGTAAAGAAGACTTTAAAACGAACCAAAGATAGAGAATCCTGCCCAGAGCCCATCAATGGGATGGTCGGGCCACTCTCTCCACGTCTGTGTGATGAATCCTCCAGCGTTTTCTCGGGGTGGGCGTGTCGGCAGCAAAGCGGGACAGGCAGCAGTAGGCATGTGCTTTCATAAAGTTTTTTTTTTTCTTTCTCTGCAAAGGGGCAATTATTCCTGGATAAGGCAAGATAATTGTGGTCACGAGAGAAGCAGCCGAATGCAGATCTGCTGAGCTTACAGGGGAAACTCAGTCCGTCTTTCCCAGCTTGGCAATCAGCTCGTCGCAGATTTTCGTCAGTTCTTCTATTTCTTGGTTCTGAAAAACAAACAATGGGATGATGCACTGTATGTCCCAAGATGAAAGGATTACGGTGAAATCGTCCTTAGACTGCCCATACCCTCTCTAGGCACCTGACTCAGTGGTTCTTCACTGTTCTGCATCAGAAACCCTTTTAAAGAAAGTTTTTTGTTAGTCGCCTCAGCCGTGTCCAACTCTGTGATCCCATGGACTGCAGCCTGTCAGGCTCCTCTGTCCATGGAATTCTCCAGGCAAGAACACTGGACTGGGCTGCCATTCCCTTCTTCAGGGGGGTCTTCCTGACCCGGGGATGAAAGCCCAGCCTCCTGCACTGCAGGCGTGTTCTTTACTGTCTGAACCATCTGGGAAGCCCTTCAGAGAAAGGAGGGCTCGACGCCTTCTCCCCTGGAAATGATCACATGTTTGCCATGTTCTGCTTAGACTGAGTAAGGGGAGAGCGTAATGACTGGCCCTCTGAAGTGTTTCTCAAATTTCCTCGCTGTCACGGCAATTACTTGGCGGTGTTTGTTAGAAATGCCAGATATCTGGGCCTCACTAGCTCCATCAGCATCTCCAGGCACCTGGGATTCTGGAGGCTAAGATGCCAAGGGCCACCGTCTCGGGGGTTATCAGACCCACCCAATAAAACCCCTGCCCTGGTGGAACAGACGCCACAGTCCTGAAAACACGTTTGGCAACACAGTAACAAACACAGAAGAGGCACAAAGAATGAAGTCTAAGAATCACTGAACAGCCATGGTTTTTGCTTATGTAGCAGTTTCTAGACCATGGCACCGCTGACATTGGGGAGGGGTGGCTCTTGATTGTGGGGTGTCCTGTGCACCTTGGGGTGTTTGGCAGCATCTCTTGCCTCTACCCACAAGATGCCCACAGCATCTCTCAGTCAAGACCACCACATACACCTCCAGATTTTGCCTAATGGCTCCTGGAGGGCAAAACTGCAATGAAGCGGGACAACAGCTTCATGTGTTACAGAAAAAAAAAAAAAGAAAAGAGAAAAAAGGCAACCTCGGAGCCTAAGCCTTTGGTCCACTGAGCTTTCGTGAACGCAACTTTCCCTCTGCCCTGCCTGTGGGCAGGTCCCACTCACGCTCCCCTCCTTTGTCGCCATTCCAGTAAGTGGAATGAAGCGTCTGAGCAAAGAGGCAAGGTTTCTTCACCCAGACCCGAGATGAGGGAGCCACAGCGGAGAAGGAAAACCAAAGGTCTCCTGGGCATGATATCCCACCCCTCGTACCTTCTGCTGAAGGGCCCTCTCCAAAGACTCCACCTTCATCTGTTCCTTCCGGAGCCCCGCATGGAGAGCCGCACTCTCAGCCTTGGCTTTTGTTCGAACCTGAGCAATCTCCTCATTGGCTCTGTTATGGAAGGAAGGACAAAAAACACATGGCCTGTCATCAGTCATGGCGCAAGGGCCAGGATGCTAACAGCTGACATCTGTGACACAGGACTAAGTCAGCTGACTTCACCATAGAGGGAAGATAGGAATCAGTGAGCTACAGGATGCAATTTTAATTTATAAAAATTTAATTACACATAACCGCTAAGGAGATGTCCCTGGTGCAAACTACTGGCAGAATTCATCTCAAGGCACACGGTGCCCTTCAAAATTCACATGCCACCTGAGAATGGAATCACAGGCCAGTTTCTACAAAAATCTTAAATTTTTTTTTAAAAACCCAGTACAATAGTAAGTAAGCAGGATCTTTGTGGATTAACACAGCTAACAAGTCAGGAATACTAACTGTTGGCATCTATGAAACACAGACCTACAGGCAACTTTATTAAAGAGATGCAAAAGGAAAATTTAAAAACCACAGATGTCATTTGATAAACAGTTAATTGATGAAAAGATGCTAAAAACTCACTGTAATCAGAGGCGTGCAAATTAAAACGATAAACTTTTAAAATGTATCAGCTTGGCAAAAATTAGCCAGGATGATCTTGGCCTGTGTTGGCCAAGATGCAAGGTAAACTGGCTCGGGTGCTGACGGGGAAAGAAAACCCATACAGCCCTCTCTGTGGACATGGTCCAGCAGGAACTAGTGCACACCTCCGCCCAGCGAGTCCATCCTAGCAATCTCCCCTGAGGAGCACGCTCCCCAGCACCACTCTGACTGCACAAGGTATTCACTGCCGCACTGTTTGCAACAGGAAAAGGGTGAAATGCCCGTCCACTAAAGTTATGAAATAGTCCGAAAACTAATAATTAGATTGAACAATGTTCTAACATGAAAAAAAAAGGGCCATAATATATGATTAGGTGAAAACAGAAACCTGTATAATACTGTATTATTTTTTTCAAAAAGTCCAAAGCCATTGGGTAGTATTTGTAAAGGCTCATAGAAAAGATTAGAAAGACGCAAAATAAACCTTTAATACAAATACCTCTGGGGGTGGGGAGGGAAAAGGGGAACTTACAAGGCTTTACAAACAGGAAGGTGGCAGAATGTACAAGGATGTATTACTCTTTAGTTAAAAAATAAAGCTGGGTACATCCTTCATAGATCCTTTATTCCCTAGGATACATTCAAAATGCATCAGATTTAAGAATAAAAAAATTAAGCCTTATTTAATAACATATAATGGAAAAGAATCTGAAAAAGAATATACATATGTATAACCGAATCACTTACTTGAAACTAACACAACATTGTAAATCAACTACACTTCAACTAAAGTCAAAACAAAACAAATTTTAAAAGAGCAAAAGAAAACTAAGCCATTAAAAGTATTGGAAGGCAAACATGGGAAAATGTTTTACACTGAGCATGATGAAGATCTTTGTTATTATGACAGAAGATCCTAAAGCTATAAAAGAAATGATTGAGAAATTACACTATGTAAATTTTTGCATATCAAAAAAAACACTATGGGTGGAGCCAAAAGGTAACAAACTAGAAAAATTATTCACAACTCCTATCACAAAGGGCTGTCATCTGTAATATATTTATATTTAAAATACATAAGCTGACACTAGAAAACTAGGCAAAAAAGTCATTCATGGAAAAGCAAATATATGTATAGATGGCTGCTAAAATATGTTCAATTTCACTCATAGAATACATATGAATCAAAACTACGTTGAATAAAAGAAATGCTATATTGCTTGCCAAAATAAAAGAAGAAACTCAACTAAATTGAAATAACCATCTTTTGCTGGTTAGATGTAGCGAAAATCTGAATCCTGATCTGTTGGTGAAGCTGCATGAAAAAAGAGCTGCTTTCACACACTGCAGGGTTGTAAAGTAATAAAAGTCTAACGAGGGCAACTGGACAATATGATCACAATTATAAATCCATAAATCCCTTTGCCCGGCAGTTCACATACAGGGATCTCACCTGCCTCCCAGACGATAATCATCTGAGGTTACTTACTTCACTGCAGCACTGTTTGCAGTAGAAGGTGCTGAATAACCTAGGTGTCCAACAGGTGGGACTGGTTAAGTAAAGGATACATTCCGACAACAGAACACCAGATTTAAAAAATAAAGAGGCTCTTCATGGGTTGACACGGAAAGATTTCCAAAATAAACTGCTGAGTGAAAAAAAGTGAGTACGCTACTGTCCATATATTAAAAAAAAAGGAGTGTCTCATCACATTAAAAAAAAAAAATAGGACTGTGATAGAGCCTCAGCCAGCTTGACAGTGGTGCAAATGTAAGTGCATCAAATCAGCACTGTACACCTCAGACTTACATGACGTCACTCACAGCCCAATACAGCTGGGGTGGGGGGAAGGGGAGGGGGAGTATGTCTGGAAGGGTAAAAGGATGGTCATTTCCTGGGGTGAGGCACGAGGTGGGAACCCTATGGGGGGAGGACGGGGTGGGAGGGAGAGACTGTATCTTTTTACTCTTTTTAAAAAATTTTTTCATCTTGTATCGAGGTACAGCTGATTAACAACGCTGTGACAGTTTCAGGTGGAGAGCAAAAGGGACTCGGCCATACTGCATCCATTCTCCCCAAACGCCCCTCCCGTCCAGGCTGCCCCGTAACTTTGAGCAGAGTTCCCTGTGCTGTTCGGTAGGTCCCTGTTGGGTACCCATTTTAAATAGAATTGTGTGTACACGTCCATCCCAATCTCCGTAACTATCCCTCTCCCTTACCCTTACCCCCAGCGACCATAAGTTTGGTCTCTAACGCTGTGGGTCTCTTTCTATTTTGCAAGTAAGTTCATCTGTATCATTTCTTTTTAGATTCCACATATAAAGGATGTCATATGATATTCCTCCTCCTCTGATTTACTTTACTCAGTATTCTCTTTGTTCTTTTTAATGTTTGAACTAAAGGAAGATTTCACCTATTCAAAAAAAAAAAAGAAAGAAATGAGCTGATTTACAAAACAGAACCAGACTCATAGAGAATGAACTTCTGGTCAGCAGGGAGGAAGGGCGTAGGGGGAGGGAAAGCCTGGGAGTGTGGGACTGACAGGCACACAGTGCTTTATTTAAAATAAAATGCCTTTCCAGAAAAACAGAACGACAAAAAAAGCACACACACACACACATGCAAAACAGTGATTCTTTTTTTTCTTTCCTCTGTTGGTCTTCCCACAACAACATGAAAAATGAAATTCTTCCGCACAGACTCTTACTTGTCTAGTTTTTCCTCGGCGTGGATCTTCAGGGCCTGATAGCGTTGCTCTTCTTGTTTAACTCTGGCTAAGTAATCCTGAGCACATTTTTTCAAGGCTTCTTCATTCTGTTACCAAGTGACAATTTAAAAGGAAAAAAACAGGTCATTTTGCTTCTCTTCTACTAGTAACCTGCCGTGTGTCAAGAGCTTTCCTTTTTTAAAACATGAGAAAACCTAATTACATTCAGATGCCTTTAAATAAGACTCCATGGTACTTTGAAAAAGGCACAAATAACTCCCACTGAGGAAACTGTAGATGACGTCATGTATTACCTTTCAAATCAGACAGTGAGCTACACTGACACGCCTGCCTCAGGAAGTGTGCATGCAGGAGTGTGAAGTCGCTTCAGTCACGTCTGACTGCGTGCAGTCCTGTGGACTGCGGCCCCCTGGGCTCCTCTGTCCATGGCACTCCCCAGGCAAGAATACTAGAGTGGGTTGCCGTGCCCTTTCTCCAGGGAAGCGTCCCCACCCAGGGATCGAACCTTCGTCTCTTATGTCTCCTGCGCAGGCGGGCAGGTTCTTTTCCAGTAGCACCACCTGGCTTTAGGAAGGCCAAAGTTATTCAAAACTGAAGGGCAGGACTTCCCTGGTGGTGCAGGGGTCATGGGTTCGATTCCAGGTCTGGGAAGATTCCGCATGCCAGGGAGCAACTGAGCCCGTGGGCCACAGCCTCTGAGTCCAAGCGCAGCAACTGCCGGAGCCCACATGCCTACAGCCCGAGCTCCACAGGAAGAGAAGCCGGAGCCAAGAGGGGCTTGCTGCAATTAGAGAAGGCCTGAGCAAAGCAACAAAGACTCGGTGCAGCCAAAAGCAAACAAAAAAACTGAAGGGCAATCTGATTCCTGTTTTGGACACCCTGGACAGCCATTTTTATTTTAATATGAAAAAAAGGATACTCACTGCTATAAATGTGTCTTTAGTGATGGTGGGTGACCAAATTAAGTCAACATGCCCACTTACACCTAAATTTGAAACTGCACACTTTCTTCTTGGATACTTTCGGCTTGAATTTTTCTGTGCTATGGCTTGACTCCCTTCTACTTTTGAAAAATCGGTGAATGACCAAGAAGAACATTTCTACAACTCTTCCAAGGTCTGAGGGCCTCAGCTTCTTACATGCTGTGCCACACTCTGGTCGTGTCCAGGGCTTGTTGCCCTGACTGAGGAGAGGAAGGATTCAGACATGCCACCCAGGGTCCCCGATTCCCTGCTTCCGGGCCACCCACACCTTGGGCACATGGGTTTGAAAACCCATCACCAAGAAGACACACCACCCAGAAGACAGAAGGCAAAGGACAGGTACCTTCTTGAACCCTTCCAGGACGCCCTTCAGGTTCTCGTATCTCCTGAACAGGTCGGACAGGGACCTTTCCACTGAGTTGAGGTCGGCCAGGGCCTGCTCCTTCTCCATGGTCAGCTGCTGGAAGCTCTTCTGAGAGCTCATGCTTGTCCTCTGTTCATCTTCTGTGAGTCACGATCAGAGAACACACATTCACCCAACGGGCAGTTCACAACGGCCCTCCTGAGCTGCGAGGCAGCACTCTGGGGGGGTGGAGGGGGGAACCCAGCAAGGAAGGTGACAGGTTTCCACCCTCAAGGTCTGGCACTCTGGTGGGGGAGACAGGCCACAGGTGGTTGGAAAAGAACAAAGCAGGACAGGAGGTTGGGGTGCCTTTTACACCAAACTGCTGATCAGAGGAGAGATGCAAGCACAGACCCAGAGGGCAGGAGCCATCAGGGGGCGTGGATGGCATAAGTTATCATCTCAGCACTTCGGTTAACACAGAGAGACCTGAAGTGACTTAGGAAGTCAGTCCTTATGACAGCGGCTACAAGAGGTTCTAAATTCAATGCAGGAGGATGAAGCGCTGTCCTTTCTGAAGGCCCCGATGGGTCTGATGCAGGGAAAGCGGGACCTATAGTGGAGTGAGGCCCAGAGACGTCCCACCAGAGGGGGCGGGGAGTGGGGTGGGAGGAAGGATGTGGAGAGGCTGCCCACCCTGGTACTGGAAGTGTTCATCCTCTACAAGGAATCCAATCTTAATGGTCCTCAATATTTGCAGATTCTGTATCTGTGAATTCGCCTGCTCGCTGGAATTCCTGTGTCGCCTCCAAGTCAAGACGTGCGGTGGGTTCCCAGCTGTTCGGGGGCACGTGTGGGGCGGCAGAGAACTGGGGTCACCCGCCAAGCACGTTCTCACCTAAGGCTGGACCAGGAGGTGCTCTGCCATGTTGCATACTGCCAACAAGGGCCCTATTTAGTCTACTTCGGGCCTTATTTTTGCACTTTTGTGCTTCCTGTTGGGAAATTTTAAATGGGCCCCAAGCCTGGGGCTGTGGAACTGTCTTGTATCCTAAAAGCTACAAGGCTGGAGGTATCTTGGGGGAAAACACACGTGAGATGAGCTTTGTCCGGGTACGAGCTCAGTATTAATGAAACGACAATACACCCTGGATAAGGTTATGTATTGACAAAATTGTTGTGACCTCAGGCTCACAGGCACCTGCTTTGCTTTCCTGAGGATCAATGCGTTAGAATTGCCTAATTCAGTGTTTGTGGCAATTTTATAAAAACAACAACTGCATATAGTGAGAATCAACTGTATCTCAGGGATGGACAAACTGAGATTTATATTCTGATTTGAAAATCATCTTTGGATCCTGAGGTTCATATTCTAGAGAAAAATTTCCTTACCAATCATTTGGGCAATGGTCTTCTCATACTCAGCCACAATTTTCCTTAAACAAACAGACAAAAAGTCTTATCAGAAGAGAATATCCAGACAAGGGAAGTTGGACAAATGCTGCCCTAAACAACTGAACACAGTAACATGTACTGACAAACTTACATAACCCAGCTACCTGCTGTGGGGTGCCCCCCTGGTTTTTTTACATTTAATGTAAGATTTGTTAATGCTCAGAAAGGCTTTTCTCAAGGTTCTGTTTAACAAGGCTTCCATTTTACTTGGGCTTCCCTAATAGCTCAGTTGGTAAAGAATCCGAGGAAACAACTGCCTTCATTTTTCTTTGCACCTGTGTGAATGACCCCAAGGCAGTCTATGAATTCTGCCTAGAGAAGTAACTCTTTTACAAAATGAGTTAATGATATCCTGGGGGCTCCTCCTAAGAGGCCTGATCCGAGTTCAGGCTTTCCTGGCCCCAATCCACTCTTATAGGCAGTGGGTCCCCTGTGATTCAGATCCAGGTTTTATTTTATTGTCCTAATTCCAGAAGCATTTTAGTTATTCAAAGTTATTTAAAGATTACCCTGTCCTGTTCATGCAGGAAAAGTGCAATCTTTTCTGACCCTCCAGTGACGGGTGCCCCTCCCTGAGACCCCTGGTGAGAAGAACCACTCCCTTGGTCCTCACTCTGATCAGGCATCCAAGTTCTCATGAAGGCGGCTAAAAGCTCCCCGAGATCAGGGGCTGTGCCTTCCTCCCCAACAAGCCAGCACAGGGACCCAGCAAGCACTTGAAACACCAAATAATACAAGAGCCACACACTAGAGTGGACCCATTTAAAATGTTTCAATCAAGTGCCCACTGAACGGTTTGTAAATTATTTATGCCCCCCACTCTTTGATGCCATTTTTAGTTATGTCGCAGCTCTTAAATGTAGGAGTGAATAGTAAAAATAAAAAGATTCCAAGTTAGAGTCAGTCAGCTTTGTTTCTTGTTAAAATGCTTTTTATACTCTATCTTGTGGCTAAGAAATCTGAAGCTACCATGTATAATTCATTTTAGAAAAGGATTATGGATTGTAATGCCTCCATAATTGAAGACGTCAATAAATCTTATTATTCTGTATTTCGAATGGGTATTTTTGCACAAATTTGTCTTTTCAAAAGACAAGGATTCTGTGGGTTCTGCTTACCTGTCATGTTCTGAACCACCCAAAATAAGCTACCACATTTGAATACAGAAACTGGTCAGTAATCCTCAGGAAATGACCTTATCCATCACAAATGAAGGTGCAAATAGCAAAGCCCTCAAGTTCTCAAGAGCTGGTTCTATGTAAGCAAGTACTGTGCTCACTTCCTTTCCACTAAATCTAATAATACATAAAGGTACCCACCCCTCTCCCAAACCTCCAGCCTAACCTCATCTCCAAGACTTCTTGTCTGGTTTCTTCGTATTTTTTCTTCCATTCATTCGCTTCGATCTCTTTAGTGATTATCTAGATTATAATGCAGACAAAGCTTAGTTTTACCGACTCAGTCTCTTTACAGTTTGAATTCAAGACTAGAGCCTGAAAACAACCCACAGCCAATGTTCATCCCAAGATATTCAATCTACATTAGGAATAAAACCCCTCAACTTCTGTGTGTAATGCTCATAGACACTGGGGAAATGTTGTCAGCCACATAAGGATGCTGAAACGTGGTCACCAGGGTGAAGGCGAGCAAAAACCTCTCCCAGGAAAGCCCCAGGTGGGAATTACCATCTCTGTAAACTCCACATTGGTCCAGGGTCTGGCTCTCGGCCTAGAACCCTGCTGGGTCAGGACGCCAACAGCTGAGCCACTGGTCTGGCAGACTCCTCTTAAAGGTAAGACGCCAGAGCCCCACTTTATTAGTAATTAGGCTGAGACATGAAACCGTCACAGGATCAGAGCAGGGGGAGCTGGCCTGGCCAGGCAGTCTCTTTCTGCAGAGATTTCGGACTGAGTCAGAACAGTGCTCAGAAGGTCAGTGCCCCCGGGCAGAGGCACCCAACTCAAGGTGGGCAAGATCCTGCTTGTTAGACCAAGACCCATATCCTACATTTGGGAGGCCCATGCTAGCTGGAAAGAAACACTCTGAATTTACGGTCTCAGGCACCTCTTCCCCTGCACAGGGCTCAGATGGGTACCTATTGTTCTCCTGCGATTATACTTCCCTGTGCTTCTTTCTGATTGGTACAATCTTTATTTTGGTGCCATGAAGCAGGATTTCAAGAACCAGAAGCCAACCTCTCTGCTTCAGGGAGGAAGCAGGAACACCTTTGTTTTTTTTTGGTCACTCTTTACAGCATACAGGATCTTTTTTTAGTTCCCCCTGTAGGGGTGAAAGTCTTAACCACTGGACCACCACGGAAGTCCTAGCACATCTTTGCTTTGATGCATCTGGTCAGTGGTTATCTCATTATTTTAACTCTCAGAAGAAAGACAACACTTTTCTCATTTACAAGACTGTGGAGCCTCCTGACCACAGCGTTTTGATAACAGGACTAGCTGACACCACTAATTACCAAAGTTATTGCTCTGTTTTAAAGGTTTGAAAGACCTAGGTCAGAAGTAATTAACCATTTTCATCACATTATAAAAATAAAATCACTACACCAAGGGAATTACCTTCTTTTAAAAAAGTGGAACAAATCCAAGAAACATATAAACCAAACACATCAAACACAGCACAGAGGTGTAAGGGGAGGGTGGAAAGGAACTAATGGTACCTAACAAGTGACTTTCCTATTTTCCAGATCACCCACGAAAGGCCTGGCAGTGATCTATTTCAAACAGAAGACGTTCAATCAACATGACAGAGGAACTTGAGAGTTAATTAAAGAATGGATGAAGGTAGGAAGCAGTTTTAATTCCTACAAGTCTAGAATTTGAGGAACTCTTAGGCATGAGTCTATATCCTCTGTAAAACGAAGGTGCTAACTTAGTTACGTATGTGGGTAAAGTTGGAAAAATTCAGTACTTAAAACTTCAAGGATAAGTGATAAAAAAGCATGCTGAAAAGTTCTCAAGGACACTTCCAAGCGTCAGCTTTGCCCCTTGGACACCAGAAGGCCAGGGGGCCGTTTTACAGGGAGCCCTTTATATGAGCTCTCCAGCCGGGGAGGAAGAACTCAAGCCAGCAGAGATGGAACCTCCCCACTGACACACGGGCTTGACAGAGAAATGAGCAACAGCGGACATGGCACGGAAGCCTTCACCTCTTCCCTTATCAGGGTGAGCACGGCGGTCTTATCTGATTCGCTGAGGCAGATGCCATCCAGGGGGCTCTCCACTCCGCAGCCCACGGACACGGGGCTCTTCTCCACTGGGGACTCCAGCAGTGTCTGTGGGGGGAGCAGGCGCAGGTAAGACATATGGGCCTCGGCTGCTTAACCCCAAGTACCCTTCCATGACTTCCTCCTGATGAGAATGATCACATCCTTTAAAAACAGGTTGGGGGGGGGAGCCAGAGGGGGGCGGGGGAGGGGGGAAGGAACCAGCAGGGGGAAAGCTTTAAAACAAAAACAAAAAACTAAAGAATGACCTTATGATTGTGAGTGGGGGGAGGGGGAAGGACAGGGGAAAGGGATGGTTAGGGAGTTGGGGATGGACAGGTACACACTGCTGTATTTAAAAATGGATGACCAACAACAAGGACCTGCTGAATACAGCTCAGGGAACTCCGCTCAATGTTCTGTTGCAGCCTGGATGGGAGGGGGGTTTGGGGGAGAATGTGTGTGTTAGTCGCTCAGTCATATCGGACTCTTTGCAACCCCATGGATTGTATCCTGCCAGGCTCCTCTGTGGGATTCTCCAGGCAAGAATACTGGAGTTGCCATGCCCTCCTTTAGGGTATCTTCCTGACCCAGGGATCGAACCCGAGTCTCCTTCGTCTCCTGCATTGGCAGACAGATTCTTTTACTTCTGAGCCACCAGGGAAGCCCTTGGGGGAGAATGAATACATGTACATGTAGGACTGAGTCCCTTCGCTGTTCACCTGAAATTATCACATTTTTAACTGGCTATGCCCCAATACAAAAATAAAAAGTAAAAATGTTTTTAAAAAAGGAAAAAACACTCTAATGAGTATCAGGCAGGTCTGAGATTCTCTTTTAACAGGTGACTTAAGAGAAGTTTTCTTCTCATTCAAAAAGGAGAGAGTGCAATTATCTCAGAGGTCAGTCACCAGACAGTCATGTGCAGAAGAGAGAAAAACACCTGCTGTTAATATCCTGTGAACCTGGGGATCTCTGGGGATGACGTGGTCCATGGAAATAAATTTCAAAACGCATGTCAACCTTTTTACATACTACCTCCTGTGTACTATGCTTTGGCCACTCGGGTGGAAATGTTTCTAAAATGACTTTCAGGCCTAAGCAGGCAGAAATGGCGAAGATAAGTGAACGCCGACCCCACCCTGGGACGACCCGGGGTCGTGGGGAAGGGCAGAGGCCCCGAGGACTGGTGCGCAGACCCAGCGGTGCTGTCAGGGGCACAGGCGTCAGGGTCTGGGCTGCAGTTCCTCATCCCGGACCTTCCTGCTGGAGTTTTTAGCTCCTTTCTGATAACATGTCACCTTCTGAGGTGCCAGCCTGATTTTTTACCATAAACATGCGTTCCCGGAGCCATGGGCAGTTAGGATTTTGTTTTTCACAGGGATGTGGACTCTGTACCACTTTTCTTCCTAAAAAGCATTTTTGAGGGCTATTTCCTCCCACCTACGTTAACTTTTTGCATAAATGGAGAAAAATCTGATCCAGTAACACCCAAAATGCCAGCCAAAGTGACCTGGGAATCTTTTTTTCTTTAATTATTAGAATTAGGGATAGGATTCTGGAATAATTTTAATAATCTAAAATGTCAGCATTACTGATTATAATCAATCCGGTTCTCTGGTGTCTTGTTTGAATCTAATTTGAATAGGAAATCCAAGGTCAACTTAGACCAGGGGTTTGTAAACTTTTCAAGGTCATTATGGACTCACCCTCGCTTTAGAAAACACTCAAGACACACTCGCCCTCCCTCTAGCAAGCACTCACACACACACACACACACACGGTTTCTGCAAACAGCCTCACAGCCCTCAGCCGAGGGCCCAACACAAACCCCGGGCCGAGGCCACAGATACGGGAAACACACAAGACACAGGCTGGCAGTGCCCTTCCCAGCAGCGTTTGGGGGAGGGCGGCTCACCACCTGATAGAAGCCCAAGGCCCCCAGAAACACTCTTATCTTGGGACAGACCCGTCACCAGAGCCAGAAGGCAGTCTCTAGTAAGACGGCCCCAGTGACCCCAGCTCCTGCATGAGTTCCCCTGCAGCCTTCCACCATCCTGAGTAAGGCTGGACCCAGCGACGCTCGTCTAGGAACAGAAGACAGTAAAGGTCACAGGGTGTCACTGGTTTACAAACAGGCTTCAGGCTGTGAGAAGCTCTGGAGAAGCCACGTGGGAAGGTCCCGCCGTGTGAGAGGGCCTCAAGTGGATCCACCCCAATGGAGCCGGGAGGTGACCGCAGCCGGTGACGGACCCCGAGTCAGAGGCACCCAGCCAAGTCGCCCTGGGACTCCTGACCCCAAAATGAGGAGACTGAGAGCGTGTGCTGTCGGTCGCTTGATCACTAGCACACCGGACATCTGAGTCACCCCCTTACCTCTTGTGCCACGCACTCCTCATCAAGAAACCTCCCTCTGGGGACTTCCCTGGTAGGTCCAGTAGCTAAGAATCTACCTGGCAATGCTGGGGACTCAGGCTTGATCCCTGGTCAGGGAACTAAGATCCCACATGCCACGGATCAACTAAGCCTTCAAGCTGCAACTACTGAGCCCTTGAACCACAGCCAGAGTCCGAGCACCGAAATGAAAGATCCTACATGACACAACGAAGACCCAATGCAGAAAAAAACCAAAAAAAACCTAAACAAAGAGGAAACCTCCCTGCAGCAGTCATGCTTCCCCTGTGTAACTCGCCTACTAGGTACTGCCCACACTTTTTAAAAAAAAATTTTTTTTCCATTTATTTTTATTAGTTGTAGACTAGTTACTTTATAATATTATAGTGGTTTTTGCCATACATTGACATGAATCAGCCATGGATTTACATGTGTTTCCCATCCCAATCCCCCCTCCCCACACTTTTGGTTCATCTTGTTACACTGCTGATTTTAAATGAATACATTTTATATCAGTCTTTTGAATAAGAATCCCTGGGAAACTGGCCCCCTGTGCCTTCCATGACCCTCATGTTAGAAAGAATTTGGGAAATAAGCCAAGTTTTCTTGGTAGGGAAAATATTTGTCCCTTCTGGAGTTCTGCATCTCAGTCATCTGCGAGGGGATAAATGAATTCAGCCTGCCTGCCTGTTTAACGACTTCGATCTAACAGACGAGGTATCTGGAAAAGGCAGCCTTCTGTGCTGGAAGATCAGACAGACCTTAGACAGAAGTGAACACACCCAGAGGCGTGGGCTCTCCCTGGCCACTCCCGCTGCCTGGCCATATGCCACAAGCCTAGTGCTCAAAGTGCAACAGCTCTTATGAGGAATTTATAGCTGTGGCCTATTTTAGCTACCTTTCCTGGTCCTCTAGGATTTATTTAGCTTTCTTACATTCCTCAGTCCTTCATAATGTTTCTCAAACAACACAGAAAGCCTACAGAATCTACCATCATCAGAAACTGGCCTGGCCATCTCTTCCAGGGCTGGGCAACCTAGTATGTGTTTAATAAAGATGTTAAACCAATCAGATCACTTATCACTTACATCCTTCCAAAAGAATCCTGCTTCGCATCTCCTAGTCCTTATTCCTGTCCCACAAAGCATCTACCCTTGAGGGCCCATGAAGACCTGTCTACAGACAGCGGGGCCCAGGGATGTCTTGGCTGCAAGTTGACAGTGAGCACAAATGCCACAAAGTAATTCTCTGCACTTGTCCTGGCGATGGGAGAATCTGGGTTCCTCATCTGTCAGGCTCATCCCATTTGTCCTTGAACCTGTCCGAGCAGGGCCCCCCTCCCCCCACCACTTCTAACAGAGACACATTGTGAACTCAACGTTTGAGAAGTTTAAGGTTTCTCTGAAAAAATAATAAACTCAATCCTAAGTTGAGAGATGCTGCAGACCAGCTGCTGAGAAGTGAGGCGACTGTCCTCTGGCCTTAGTCATTTCACCCTGGCCACTCCTGAGCTGGATGGAGGATGCAACAGGAACGCCCTTCGAAGCGACACTCAGAGGCTCACAAAGGCAAAAGCTAGACTGAACAGATTTCTTTCCGGTTTAACTAACTGATCTCTTTGCTGCCCTGGGTCTCTGCTGCTGTGTGCAGGCTCTCTCAAGTTGCAGTGAGTGGGGACTACTCTTCGCTGCAGAGCATGGGCTTCTCACTGCGCTGACTTCTCTTGTTGCGGAGCATGGGTCTAGGCGTGGGGGCTCAGAAGTGTGGCACACGGGCTTAGTTGCTCCCGGGTGGATTCTTTTTTTTTTCTTAGTGTATGTGCTGCCGAAGAGAGCACCCAGGTGGATCTTAACCACTGGACCGCCAGGGAAGCCCTGAACAGATTTCTTACGCAGTGTTTTGAATATCACAAGTTCTTTATGCAGGGTTTATTCAACATTCTAAAGAAGTAGAAATTAATTTCAGCCAGTTCAACTGGGATTACCATTCAAAGATCATGACCCAGGACGTGCTCTTTGCAAGGGGCACTGCAGAGAAACCCCCTCAAATCCCAGAGGAGTGCTTCTGTCGAGAAACAACTGTACTTTGTGATGTCCCTGACCCCTATGTGCATGTCCTCCTCCTGCCTGGTGTCCACAGGTCCCTCCCCCGCCCCACATCACTCACTCTGCGCCCTCCAAGGAAACACATGGGTCATGGCCCAACAGTGAGTCATGAAAACAGTTCCTGGAGCAAACAACGTGCATTAAAAAACTGTAACGGAATACAAAAAAATCAGAATGAACCACTGAAGAAACGTGGAAACTGTCTTGTGCAATTTGTTTTATAAAAATACAAATGCACGTGTGGAGAGAGTTTCCTATGTATCTATTAGTTAAGATGCAAAACGTGGGCATTCCCGGTGGTCCAGTGGTGAGGTCCAGTGGTAAGAGTGGTGCTCTCACTGCTGGGGACCCAGGTTCAATCACTGGTCAGGGAACTAAGATCCTGCAAACCTACTGGAGTGGCCAAAAAAAGATGTAAAAATGTATTTTTACTATGGATCAAGGTAAAGAATGTTTCCATGACAAATTTACCTACTCCTTCAGCTTAAACCATCCTAAGGCCCCTCAGATCTATTAAAGCCAAGCCACACTTTTCCTGAGCTTGGGCTGTGTACTTCTCACTGCCTACAGGAAATGTGAACCGAGAAGCTGGCCACACAGACGTCTCAAGGCCACATGTCTAACACTGAACTTGTACGATTCAGCTCTCCCTGTATTCCTAGTATACTGGCTCCTATGTTCAGCAGTGCTCACTGTGGTCAAGGCGGGGATACAGCAGTGAGCACAGTCATGGCTCCACCTCGTGGAGGAAGCCAGGGAGAAAAGACAGTGACCCCAAGGGGCAGGTCCACAGAACTGAATGAAACCCCGTCTGCTTGGGCACATATGTGATGTGGGAAGGAGGCAGGGTTCATGCAGAAAACCAAGTCAGCAGCAGTCGAGTCTGAGCTGAGCCTAGAGACAAGGAAAGCCAATGAAACAGTTTAAGCAAAAAGAAACAACTCCAGCTTATGGAAAAGAGGACAGAATAATCCCCAGAAGAGGGAAGTTTGTTAGGAAACTGCCACCATACTTAAAAAGGCTGGTGGTGGCCACAGGTTTGACAAAAGTGGATGGATTTACAACACGTAATCAAAGTTAATTCCACTAATAACAGGACACATGGACACACTGACACCCACAAGGTCACTTCTGACGTACTTGAGGCAAAAATGCACAAACTGAAATTTCCTGAGGAAACACTAGATAAGCCCAAATCGAAAGAAAGTTGACAAAACAACTGACCAGTACTCTTCAAAAGAGTCAAGGTCGGGGAGGACAGAGACAGATTAGGAGCTATCACAGATTCAAGGAGACTGGGAACACGGGAACCAAATGCCTTGTGGGGTCCTGCCCTGGATCCTGTGCCAGAACATTATTGGGGCAGCTGATAAAACCTGAATACAGTTGACAGACTGGACAGCAATACTGCACCAGTGTTAATGAATTCTGATAACTGTATTGTGATCACAGAAAAGGTTAGTGTTTGAGGAGCATGGATGGGTACAGGAGGTACAGGAATTCTCTGTACTATTTTCGTAAGCCTAAAAGCTTAAAAAAACTGTTTTTAGCTCAGCTCAAATCCAGCCTTCCTGACACCTGCCGTACAGTGGGTCAGCCCTGGGGATGCAGCCTGTGCAACACTCACCACATGGGAACCGTTTCCACCTTGCATCTGTGGCCAGGGAAATAATGGAAGCTGTGTCTAAGTTAAAAAATCTCAGAAGCTGCATTTACAGAGTGAAAAGAAATATTTGAAGTGAATTTTAATAATATAGTTTCATTAAAACAGCAGATCCAAAATGTCAACATGTCATCAACATAAAAAGCTACAGGCATTTCATTTTCCTTTCTTCCTGGTATGGCAGCTTCAAATGCTGGCTGTACTTTACACCTGGGGGACATCTGGGGACATTCAGCTACCGTCTGAGCACTGGTGGTCTCACTCAAGACACCTCAGACAGGTGCTGAGCTCTCCAGGTGAAGGAACTGAGCTTTATTTCTACTTCGTGCCCATCACCAAACACTGATGAGAATTTAATTACTGAGTTAACATCGGTTTCAAAACCAAGACTGAAAGCTCCCATGCCCACCCTGCTCCCCCATGGGCCTGGGAACTCACGGGCACAGTGGATCCATCCTTCTCCATCTTCTGACACAGATCCTTCTCGGTGCCTGAAACACAGAGGGTCATTTTTATAGTCATCCCGAGAGGTGGGTGCCCTTCCTTCCCACTGAGAGACTCTGGGAAACCCCAGTGTGGGCCTGGAAGGACATCTATGGACCCCTGAATCCCAGTATCTCAAGACCCTCAAAGGCACACTGCATTCTGTTGACCGCTGTGCTTTGTTCAAAGTCCAGAACGCCCAGAGGAAAGAGGCGCCAGTCGGCCACAGGCAGAATCGTGTCCTCAAGTGGAGAGAACGGCAAGACTGCCCCCTTGTGTCCATGAAGAGTTTTGCAAATGCGCTGTACCAACCACAGGATCATTTCACAAAAAGGAAACTGTAACACTGGAAAGTATTTTATTACCAAATTGAGGAGAGAATCTAAATTCCAGCCCTGAAGGGTACCCTCAATGGAATTAATGTAGCAGATAAAAAAAAAAAGGCTCTAAATTTCGATGCCTGGAAACTCAATGTCCTCTCTACACCCTTCAAGCTGGTTTCCTCATTCCCATTCTACCCCGGGAGTCAACATTTACAAAAAACCAACACTATGATTTTTCTAATTAAAGGTATACGCATCTGCTGAAGAAAAATTTTAAATATGGAAAAACACACAAAACGCTAAAGCTACAATCCTCCACCTACAATCACAAATTATTATTTTAGGGCACTGTCAAGAGTGAATTATTCATAACACAAATGTGACTATTGGTATTCCTCTTAGAAACCCTATACTCAAAAGCCCTAATTCCTCAGGACAACCTTGCCTCGAGTTCCCACTGGCCCAGGACTCACAGGGAACTGCTGGGAATTTCAACTGTGCGGCAGGCTCCTTCCCCTCCCCGTGAGAGACTCCCTGGGGCACCTCTGTGTCTGCATCCATCAGGACCCAGTCCAAAGGTGACCCCCGGGAACAGCTCAAACACTGCACACTCACACCCTCCCACCCTACGCTCCCGGGCCTCTGCTCGCTACTCAGTCATCAACAGGGTTAACAGGAGTCGCAGTTCTGTTAGCAGAACCCCAGCTCTGTAAGCTTCTGCCAAAGGCATCTCCTCCTAGTGAGGAAGGGAATAATTCAACAGACATGGACAAGGCCCCTGCAGCAGGGGAAACTTGAAGATGAATAACTCACAGTCCTTAAACCTCAAGGAGGTATCAAAGATGACCTTCCGTAACTACTACACGGAACAGGAACAGAAGAAGAAACGCAGTGGGAACCAAGTGACTTTTCTGAGACAGACCTACAAGGAAGGGCAGAATTTCTACAGGGTGAGGGTACAGAGAGTATTTCATACACAAGAAATAAGTGTAGGCATGAGTCCTTGGGGTGAGCCTGAGTAACAGGTAAAGGGGCACAGGGGGAAAAGGCAAAAGGGGTCTTTGGGGAAAATGGCAAAGCAGAAAGAGGCCTGGGAAGAAATCTGGAACAGTCCCTGGAGTGTTTATTTTACAGACAGGAAACTGAGACCTGGATGGGGGCGGGGTGGTGGTGGTGGCTGGGGAGATAACTCTTGTAAAGTGCAGATTTCCACCTGCTTCTCTGATTTGATAGATCATGACCTTTTAAAATCTAAGTATAAAAGCCCATTAAATTATGTTGCTGAAGATATTAAGTTTCCAGTAATTGTTAATGAAGTCAGGAACAGGGTGCCAAGCCCTTCACAAGTCAAGGTTAAGGCCACAGATACAATCTGGGACCTGGCAAAGGGCTTTGGATCTAGAATGTTCTAAGGTGGCAAATAGCGAGAAGCTTCAGCACAGGGAACTACCTGTGCTGCCTGATATAAATGCTGCCTGATATAAAACAGATAAACAATAAGGACCTACTGTATGGCATATCAAACTATATTCAATGTCTTGTAATAACCTATGTTGGAAAAGAATCTGAAAAATACATACACACACACACACACACACACACACATTACAAATATATATAATTGAATCACTTTGTTGTATATCTGGAGGCAACACAACATTGTAAATCAACTGCAATTTAAAAAAAAAAAGAACACTGTCTAGTGAGGAGACATGACTTACTATGCATAAAGCACTCTAACCTGTGCCTACATGTGGAAGTAACCGTATCTGTTAGTTACTACCATTTCTATACATGAAACAAAGAACTAAAAAATCACAACATGGTTGCAGATCACTACACAGGAAGCTGTGGCCAGACTGAAATAAATTATTGAAAGATATCAAGCAGTCCCACACACTGGTGTCTTCGTACACTCTGTCACCTTATCCACATGTTGCCTGGCATTCTACGGATACCCCTCGGTGTCTCCTCCCCATGCAAAGAAGCAAAGCACAGACCAGCAGCCTAACCTACCCTTCAGGGGGCCCGGTTCTCCAAGCGCTCTAAGCTGCCTCCTTGCCCTAGGCTTCCAGGCATTTTATGCTTATGTACGTAAGAAAGATGAAGATTTGCTTCCATACCTGCTTCTGAGGATGAAAACGCATGATTTATGGCAGACACAGGAACATTGGAACATTCAAAGTACTCCAGGTCGTCCTCTGGCTCACCTTTCCCCTCGGCCCCAGTGGGTTTCTGACCCGATGACGTGGACGCCAGCTTCTCCTCATCGGTAGCATGACCGTCCCTGTTAGAAATGTCTGAGATCTGGGAGATCACTGCTCCTTCATCCTGGGAAAGGCAATAGAGGCGATGCTACCATTTAGGAGGGGAAACTAACATGTCAGGAACGGCAAAGCAGCCGCCATTCCATACAATGCTCTCCATGGACCTGGGTGCCAACCAAGGAAGAAGATGCAGCCTCTGAACCATGGAAGGTTGTATTTTCTAGGGTTTACTCTCTGTGATTCAACTCCAGGGTTTGAAAAATCAGGCTTTTCTAGCCTAAATTATAAGAAAGAAGCTTAAGTGGCCCAAGGCAGTGGTTTTCATATTTTTACCTCCAATAGTTAATAAATTACTTGGGAAAATTTATGTACTCCATTGTATTTTCAGGTGACATCTAAAACCTTTCAGTATGAGTTTAAACAGTCACAAAGAACATAATATCTGCTATATATTATTTACTTGCTTATTTATCTTTCCATCCAGTTTTATTAAGATGTAATTGACATACAGTACTATATAACTTGAAGATGTATAGTATAATGACCTTACACACGTTATGAAATTACTACAGTAAGTTCAGAGAACATCTATCCTCTCATATAGATACAAAATAAAGGAAAAAAATTTTGTTCTATTTTAAATACTGATTTTGCTTATTAATTCAATTTAGTTACTCTAATGATCCGATACTTTATCATTTATTGAAAACTGAACATGAATATGCTCTTAATGGTCAGAAATTTACATCATTCCTTTTCCTCTCTAAATTTGTATTTCCTCCTTACTTCCATTAAGAAATTATCCCAAAGAAATGTATTGGCATGCCTGAAAGTCTTTTAAAGTTCTACTATTATATTTATTAAAAAAATCTTTTTTCTACAAGCCTAAGTCTTTAAGTCAGACTTTACTTTTTTGGGCTCCAAAATCACTGCAGATGGTGACTGCAGCCATGAAATTAAAAGACACTTACTCTTTGGAAGGAAAGTTATGACCAACCTAGACAGCATATTAAAAAGCAGAGACATTACTTTGCCAACAAAGGTCTGTCTAGTCAAGGCTATGGTTTTTCCAGTGGTCATGTATGGATGTGAGAGCTGGACTGTGAAGAAAGCTGAGTGCCAAAGAATTGATGCTTTTGAACTGTGGTGTTGGAGAAGACTCTTGAGAGTCCCTTGGACTGCAAGGAGATCCAACCAGTCCATCCTAAAGGAGATCAGTCCTGGGTGTTCATTGGAAGGACTGATACTGAAGTTGAAACTCCAATACTTTGGCCACCTGATGCGAAAAGTTGACTCATTGGAAAAGACCCTGATGCTGGGAGGGATGGGGGGCAGGAGGAGAAGGGGATGACAGAGGATGAGATGGCTGGATGGCATCACTGACTCGATGGGCATGAATCTGAGTAAACTCCGGGAGTTTGTGATGGACAGGGAGGCCTGGCGTGCTGCGATTCATGGGGTCGCAGAGAGTCGGACACGACTGAGCGACTGAACTGAAGTCCTGAAGCGTCAACATTCTGTTTCTTCTGGAGCACTATTTCATTTACAGATGCACAACTTATTCTAAAAATATTAGTGTTTGGTAAGTACAGTCAAACACAAAGGTAAATTTTTAAAAAATGGAAATTATTAATATTTTGTTGCACCAATTTTAAAAACTTTTACAAAGTAATGTGTTATTTTTCTGAAGCAAGTCCAAGGTAAATTCTTCATGTGGGTAGTTTTCAAATTATCCTACTATATATATATAGCACAGGGAACTCTGCTCAATGTTATGTGGCAGCCTGGATGGGAGAGGAGTTTGGGGAAGAATGGATACATGTAATATGGATGGCTGAGTTCCTTTGCTGTCTACCTGAAACTATCACAACATTGTCAACTGGCTTTATTCTAATATAAAATAAAAAGTTTAAAAACAAAGGCAAACAAACAAACAAAGGTAAATTTTTCATGGTTCTTTTTGCCTGCTCTTTAGCAGCATTTAAAAGAGGATAGTTCATACATTTGTAATAGATGAAAAATCAAATTGCAAATCTTTTTTTCTTTAATCTTAAACTATGTACCAAGTTTTGGTCCTAACTGTGTAAGTTCAACTTAAAATTCATTCCATTAATCAATGAATGTACTTCTGTAATGGTTATACTGAAATAAAATTTTAAAAAGGAAAAAAAAGCACCTCACTGCAATCAAATGGGCCTGGGTTTGGGGGGTGGGGTTTATTTGTGTTTCCCAATTAATTCATATAGTCAAGGATAAATATTTAACTACTAGAATGAAACAAAGGTCAGCATCAATTTTATTCCTGCTTTCCATTTTTATAATTATAATCAATTCGAAGCCAGAAGACTTACTAAAATAAATAAGTGAAATAGAAAAAAGTTTGATAACAGAAACATCTCAGTTCTTTGAACCCCTTTCCAAGTTATGTACCAAAAAATTCTATCATCAATAATTTTCTTTTTAATGGAGATGTAAGTGATATATATCACTGTGTCAAAAGTTATTTTTGATCATCAGCTGACAATTCAGGTTCTCCTATTTGGTGGAAAGCAATGAATTGGAAAACCATCGGACTTTAAAAATATATTATCCAGTCATTGCAGTTAATCACCTTAAAACTTACATCAAAAAAAAAAAAACTTACATCAACATTTCAAATCCCTCTTTGGTGCTCAGAGATTCTATATCCAATAGTACAGCAATAAGATGGAGAACAGGTGAGAAGGAACTCCCCCCCCTCAAAAGTGAGAACAAAGTAACTGTGAAGGAACAGGGTTCCTTTGTCTTAAAGGGCCCTTTCTCAGATCCACTTAGGAAGTCAAGGGTCTGGGAATCGGCTTCCTTAAAGCGGAATACTCAGATCCCACTGGAAAAATCTTCATTAGCCACCACCCTTAGGGGGAACACTGGCCTAAGAGATAAGCTGATGACGGGGACAGACTTACCTGAGAACACCCATCCAAACCAAGAGACTGGGCTTCATATTTCTTCACCTTACAGCCACTCCTGGGGAAAAACAAACAGAACATCAGGCTGGTTTGGCATCACATGGAAAAGCTCCAGGCCGTGAGATGGAGCAGACAGCGGAGTGGGCAGAAACCAGCCAAAGCGCACAGCCCCACACAAGTCACACCACCACATGTCAGAGACGGGAACACCTTCCCGCCTCTGAATCCTCTCCCGAGAGACAGGACAAGCAAAAACTGTAATTCAGTGACCCCCTCGCTTGTTTCTGCAGGATGCTAAAAACCGGCTCTCAGGCCCCTATGGTTTTTAACTGCAATAGCATTCCCAAGAGCAGCCCCAGCATCTGGAGACGGCGGGTCACGTGATCCGCGCTCACCTGGCTTTGACAGTCACCAGAAAAATTACCACGCCGGACCACATTCTTTAAAAATTCTTTATTGTGCTAAAAGCCACAGAAGTCTGGTAAGACAGCTCCAGACCTGTGTGCTCACAGATGGCTGTGGGCAACAGAAAGTATGAAGATAAAATATCTGAGCAATCTGTCACTGCTCCTATTCAGTAGTAAGATAGAAAATGAACGTCATGGCCGGAACTGGGGACGCTCACATCGCCCACTATGTTTAAATTTGCATGTAATTTGTGATCTGAAGACTAGTCCAGATTCCGTTCTATTTTAATGAACCTAAAACTTCCAATACCACCACTCTGACCCACCCACCCCCATCACCAAATTGCAAGTTCTTGTTTCGTGGGACAAAAACAAAGACCAGCACATACGGTACCAGAATACAGACCCCCACCTCGTCAGTAACTGATTTTCTTTCCTGATGCCTGAGTGTCACCCTGCTACCAAACTCAAGCTGAGCTGACTCGGTAAAACGCATCCCCTGTGCTCCAAGGCGGCAGCCGTATCCTATCAAACGTCAGCTGTCCCCGCCGCGAAGCAGCACAGCAGTCCCTCGGCCCGCCGCGGGGACGACCAGGCGGCCAAGCCAGCAGCAGCATCAGCGCCGCGCGGGCCTGCCGAGCCAGGGACGCAAGCTCTCGCACCTTGGCGCGAGGGCCTGTCTCCAAGCCTTTGCGTACAGATGGCAAGGCTAAGCTGACTCATGAAGTGGCAAATGAAATGCAAAAAGTCATCACAAGATTCAACTCAGAAAGGGAGGCCAACATGCTGTGGAGGAGATGGTCCAGGGAGGGTAAGGGAGGAACTGCCAAGGGTCCCGGGGGAGCCGGAAACAGCAGGAGTACTTACAACAGAAAACAGAGAAATTTCACTTGCTCAGTAGTCCTGATGCACCAACAAAGTTAGAGACGGGAAAGAGACAGACAGATGGAGAAAAAAATCATGTAAAGCCTGGAATATTTATCTCTAGTCTGGCAGACGTAAAGGCTGCAAAGTTCTATGAGATGAGACAGAAATTATAAATGTCAGATTCGTCAATATGACCACTAATGAGTGAATGACTCTCAGGAGTAAGAGACTGGTGGACACTCAGAAATGCCATGCAGTCAAATTTAAGGATGAAAAGTAAACTATCAAATAGTTGTAAATGTAAAAAAAAAAAATTACTTCTGAGTATGTTTACTCTTAAATGTCTAGTCATCCAGATTAAAGACAATCAATGCATGAATAAAATATAATTGAAAATATATCTGCTTATACCTACTGTCAGTGTATATCACTAGGAAACTCAAAATGACTTTACCTAATTTACCTTATTTGCCCGACAAAATCCCAATCATAGGATGATCTATTTTATTTCATTTTTATTATACAACAGTGACTATATTTCCCTGTGCTATACATTAGGTCTTTGCTGTTTATATATAGTAGGGTGTATCTGTTAATCTAAACTTCTAATATATCCCTGTCCCCTGACCTTTCCTCTGTGGTAACCGTAAGACTGTTTTCTATGTCTGTCAGTCTATATCTGTTCTGTAAATACATTCATTTGTATCATTTTTTCAGATTTCACATACTGAGTGATGTCATATGACATCTGTCTTCCTCTATCTGCAAAGTCAGTGAGATTTTGATAGACTTGGCCAAGAAGATTTAAATATCATTTGAAATAAAAAAAATTTTTAAGTTAAAAAAAAGATTAGTAAAGAAAGTTTAGCAGGCATTAAACTGTCTTTATACTGGATGTCTCTATATTACAGGAGAAGAATCTGAGACGCCAGTTGTATCATCTTTTAAGAAGTCACACAAGGACCCTGTCATCAGAACCTTGAACTCTCTGCTAGGTGCTACCTACTCCTACCTGTTTACTTCCACTCTTTTCTACAATAATATAGTTCACTAAATAAAACCCCAGAGTTACACAAGGGGTTGAGCATCCTTCTCCTGTGGAAAGAAGAGGGAGACAAGAGTCTTGGTTGCATAAGAGTTTTTTTAAAAAAATATACATAAGGTATTTCAGACCAAGAAGTTCATTCATCAAAAACAGAATGGGAGGAAAATGCTAGCAAGTGAGGGAAGTATGTCTGGGAGAGGGTACTCCTTGCTATCGAAAACAAGATATAGGATAAACATTCCTCCCTTTGGATTTAGTTTTATGCCACATGAATGCATGGGCTACAACACCTTCAATAAGCGACTGAAAGAGAGGCTCCCAATGAGCCCTTATCAACCCTGAGAGGTAGGGTCACTGATATTTAGAGGACCCCATATTAGGAAGCACTTAGGCAAAGACCTGGCCATCGCATCCCCCAGGTCACAGGTAACTAGATACAGGTAACTAACCTGAGCCACAGAAGAGCACACTGAGGACATCTGATCAATAATATTTTTTGGCAACTGTTTAACTGCCCATCTGGCTCGGCAACCACTTAACAATCAAAGAACAGAGCAAGAATGACAGATGACCTTTCATTCCCTTCACACTTGGTGGGGATATTGAGGCTGCTGAAGATCTGAGTCAGATTCAGGCAACTGGTTAAAAGATTCTTTATTCTTTTTGGAAACTCACTTCCTTACTAATAAAAGCCAGAAGTTTGACCAGGAGACATAAGAATTCACAGCAGCTCTGAGTGGTAGGTTTGTTTTCGATAGGAATCCCAGCTTTCTGTTCAAGTGAAAAGACTTGCATACGCCCCTTCCCCCATGTTACTAACACTACACGGGTAACCTGCAGCCCTGGGAGCTTTGTTCCATCCAGAGAAGCTGCAGACGGTGGCTGGCACTGATCCTTGAGTTCTGTCTATGACACCCTACAGCTCAGACAGGATTTCTGAAAACCATCAGATCTCTACCTGCTTAGCTCATGACATTTTTTTTTTTAAAGCAGGAAAAAAAAGTATCCAAGGTTAGGGGGAAAAGAACTCAGCGGAATAAGCTGAGAATTCAGAAGCAAGGGAGACATCTAAAAAGGAGACCCTCTGGCATCTCTGATTCCACAGCAGTCAGGCACAACAGTGAAGGCTGTGTCAGAGGCTACAAGCTGTGTGTCTGCCCTGGGGGCCTCCCCCCAAACCAAAAGCAGTGGCCACACTCTCAGAGAGGACACAGAACACAACGCCCACGCCCGGCCCCACTCACGTTATTAAACGCGACTTGGCCTTCTTGGGTGATTCTAAGATTTCATTAACATGATTACCGGCGGGAGAACCAAAGTCACCGCTGGTGAAAGTCATACTGGGTTTAAAGGGATCCTCGGACTCGTCAAAGTGGTCCGGGTCAAAGCGGTAGGAGCCCTGAGCGGAGAGCGGGGGCGAGTGCTGCCGCGCCAGGGGGCCCCCGCGGGGCCGCAGGGTGGGGCTCGCCCCGGGGCCCAGCTCCGATGGCGCCCCGGGGCCGTGAACCTGTGGCATGACTCTGCTGCCCAGTTTCCGGCCGGGCTTCTTCGGGAGGGCTCTCCTGGACTCCGTGGTCTCCGCATCTTCGGCGAAATCAAACTCGCATTTCAGCGGGCGGCTCCTTGCCTCCTCCGGCTGCTCGGCCCCCGAGTCGTGGGCATCTCCGCCTGGCGTTTCCATCATCTCAGGGGCACACTTCTGGCTCCCGGCCTTCCCATCCTCCCCGTCGGGACGCACACCCTCCGGGGCAGAGGCCGCTTCCGAGAGCTCGCCACCCAGAGCCTTCTTCCGCAGGGGCACGGGCCGGGGCTTCCGCAGGCGGCTCCGGCCGGCCCCGGGCTCTGGACGCGGGCTGCCGGCCCCGGAGTCGGCTTCCCGGGCGGTGCCCGCAGTCATGGTCTCGCCTTCTTGCAAGCGCGCGGCCGTGCCGGGCGCCCCGGGGAGGTCCCCGCAGTTCCTGGATTCTATGGAAAACGGCCTCACGACGGAGATCTTGCTCGCATCATGTTCGGGTTCTTCCCTGAAATCCTTGACTGCGCGAGACCCGTTAGTGGGCGGCGCTGCCTCCTGTCCTGCGGGTCTAGAAGCAGCCGCAGATGAACAGTTTTCAACCACTTCTGCTACCAGCTCTTCGTCCACTTCTTGTGAGTCTGAAACAAAACAGAAAAGCCGTCGGTTAACAAATGACCTTTTCAGCATTAGAGAATTTTCTCTACTAGCTGAACCCACAGGGACAGATGGCAGGTTCTTCCCATTTTGCTTTTACAAGCATCCCTAAGGTTCTGTAGCCATGGTGGTATGGCCTGAAAAGGGAGACTGGTGGTACGCTTTAAAGGGTGCCTGTAGATGGCTGCTATCCAAAAGTCTACAAACAATAAATGCTGGAGAGGGTGTGGAGAAAAGGGAACCCTCTTACACTGTTGGTGGGAATGCAAATTAGTACAGCCACTATGGAAAACAGTGTGGAGATTTCTTAAAAAGCTGGAAATAGAACTGCCATATGACCCAGCAATCCCACTTCTGGGCATACACACCGAGGAAACCAGATCTGAAAGAGACACGTGCACCCCAATGTTCATCGCAGCACTGTTTATAATAGCCAGGACATGGAAGCAACCTAGATGCCCATCAGCAGATGAATGGATGAGGAAGCTGTGGTACATATACACCATGGAATATTACTCAGCCATTAAAAAGAATTCATTTGAATCAGTTCTAATGAGATGGATGAAACTGGAGCCCATTATACAGAGCGAAGTAAGCCAGAAAGATAAAGACCATTACAGTATACTAACACATATATATGGAATTTAGAAAGATGGTAACGATAACCCTATATGCAAAACAGAAAAAGAGACTCCGATGTATAGAACAGACTTGTGGACTCTGGGAGAAGGCGAGGGTGGGATGTTTCAAGAGAACAGCATCGAAACACGTATATTATCTAGGGTGAAACAGATCACCAGCCCAGGTTGGGTGCATGAGACAAGTGCTCGGGCCTGGTGCACTGGGAAGACCCAGAGGGATCGGGTGAAGAGGGAGGTGGGAGGGGGAACCGGGATGGGGAATACATGTAAATCCATGGCTAATTCATTTCAATGTATGACAAAAACCACTGCAATGATGTAAAGTAATTAGCCTCCAACTAATAAAAATAAATGGGAAAAAAAAAAAAAGGGTGCCTGTGTATTACCCAAGTCATGATAATAATTTACTTGGACTTCCTTCGTGGTTCAGTGGCTAAGACTGCACACTTCCACTGCAGGGCACATGGTTCAGTCTGTGGAACTAAAGACACCCCATGCTACCCACTTCAGCAAAAAAAAGTTATACAAATAATGATTATACCAAACAGAGCTATTTAAGAAAAGGCGAAGTAGATCATGGGCCCTCTGCAAAGCATATTAAAAATGATGCTGAAATTCCATAGGTTAAAACAACTCGTTTGGAAGAAGCTTTGGACCCTGACAGCTCATAAACAGGGATCTCATCTGGCATGGACACGGTTCCCAAGCGCTGCCTGAGAGGTTCAGGGTCCAGATTTTATGCAGCAAATGGATTTTAATCTCTGGATGTTAAAAATAAGAATTCCTTCTTCTCCAGGATAGAATTTAAATAACTTGACTGTTTTAAAATTAAATGAAACACTCATCATGGTTTGCTCAGAATAACTTGTCTGTACATGTAAAAACTGAAAGCAGCAAATAAAAAAACTAACTAGAAAAAGCAGATATAGCAAAGTGGTTTCAGGAACAAACATTCCTTATTTTACTAAGACACAAATCATAAAATAAGTTTTACTTCTTTAGAAGCTTTGTCTCCAGCTGGCCAGGAATTCTCTCAAATCATTTGTGAAAATGAAAGATTCTTTTTAATCGGGGTCTAATAAGGAGAAACACTGCTACCAGGAAGTTGTGTAAATGAGGGTATTTCTTAAAAGCACAAATGAAGATAGTGCTTTCTTGACTCAGGTATCTGAAGTGACAACAGAGTAGCAACAAAAACCGAGTAAACTGGTTATTATCATAGTGTCTCATGATTTAACCAAGACTCAGAAATGGCCATCGAGTCCTACTTCCTAACTGTGATCCAGGACCACAGAGCAGAGTGTCACTAGGAGAGGTTCTGAAAGCACTCGCACATCTTTTTACACGATTCCTTTGTGGTTGGAACTGGGCAGTGCATTCACAAACTATTCTACACAGATGCTTCAGATACTCTACTAATGTTCAGTATGTCTTGTTCTTAAAGATATATTTAACTGTTATTAATGCTGGAATTTAAAAAAAATGTTTATTTTTATTGGCTGAATCAGGTGTTAGTTGTGACATGCAAAGTCTTAGTTGCAGCATGTGGGATCGAGTTCCTTGAGCACGGATTGAACATGGGACCCCTGCATTGGGAGTGCACAGTCTGAGCCGCTGGACCACCAGGAAAAGTCCCCAATGAATGCTGGAATTTTTTAAAAAGCTCTCAGCGCATGGTATCTAGGATTGAACATACTTCAAAAGAATTTTCTTTTAAAAGACAAAGCCAAAAAAATAAAAATAAAAAATAAAAGACAAAGCCACTGTGGCAAAATCTTGGTATCCAGGGCTGGGTATATTGGAGTTTTCATTGTACTATTTCCTCTATCGTATATGCTTGAAATCTTGCAAAATAAAAAATTTTAAAACTCAACTGCCTTACACACAGAATTTTAACAAAAACATTTTAAAGTGTACTGACAATTTAACTTGAGTGCATACAGATTCTCTATTCTCTTTCTAAGTATTCTGTACATATTTGAGCTCTGATGAGGGTGTTATTGTTTCTCTGTGCTGATGGGAGGTAACAGTGCCATCAAAAACCCGGGGCTGCAAAAATCTACATGTGACAGTCTTGGTTAGAAGTCAGGCTGGGTTTGGGCACGCCTACTCACACCCTAGCATCAGTCGATTGAAAAAAATAAAATCTTTATTATCTCGAAGTACAGAAAATAACTACTTATTTTACATGAGCCACAGAGAATGTTTAAGCAGATTTACTTATAAATCAGATTTATGTTCTCAACAGCTCTAGCTGAAATGCAGGGAAGGCTTGGAAGGAGGTCAAAAAAGGAACAAACAGAACCGCTAGTGTGTTATTCCGGGGCTTCGACTAGGGCGGTGCTAATGGAAGGGAAGAGACGTGCACAGCGACTGAGAAAATGAGGTGAGACGGAGAAGGCTTGTGAGGCGCTGGATGCAGAGCTGCAGAAGGAGGCATCAAAGACGGCATGCACGTTTTCAGCTCGTGAAACGAGGGGAGGGTGCTACTACTCAGTGAGACTCGGGGGTACCAGCCAAGGAGCTTGGGGCTGTCGGACTGGGGCTCGAGGTCGGCCCTGGACACAGAGCTGTCTGGGACCCTGAAGCAGAGAAGCTGAGTAGGAAGTAAGTAAGCGCAGAGAGATCTAAGCTGCGATAAGGACTGGACGTAACTGAAGTGATGATGTTCATGTCATTACCTTCAAAGTCAATTTTATTCTACATTTTTAAGGTAGAAGCTGATTATCTTTTTCTCTAAAAAGTTTACCTAAAAAAAGATTAATTTAAATAAAAACTTAAAGTGTATCTTTTATAAAAGTAATACTATTAATAATGATATCTGTACCTTTATTAATAACAATACAATGTCAGCTATATAGGAACATATCCACACATCTTACTTAAGATGCTTACTGAAACATCTGTGACATGCTATCTGGTATTTGTTTCAAAAATAACTGAAGTAATAAAACAGAAGAAAAAGAGGATGAGGGGATGATGGGACCAAGTCTGAGAAAATCTGGACAATGATTTAACCCGGGAAGTAGGAACACAGAGGCTCCATTTTCCATATGACATTGGGAGCTGAGGACAATCAAAGAAAAACTGTCTTTTGTTACGTAACTTCTCTCCCAATCTCTCCTTGCCACTGAGACATTCTAAAACGTTTACGGTCAGTCTGTCTCACGGGAGCCCTGTCCTCTGTGTTCTTCCCCCACAGGCTGGAGAGTAGTTGAAGCGAAAGGGTGGGGCTGAGACAGGAGAGGACAGTGTCTCCAGCCCAGCGGCCCCGTCCCTTCTGGCAACATTTGGTCATTTCCTGATCCCTTCACCATCAATCCCACACCTCCCAAAGATGGAGAGAAGACCTCTGGAGTCGCCCTTCCCTGAGTCTCTCCTAGCTTTCTACTTCTTTCTGCCCTAGTCTCCCCTCTCAGCAAAGGCAGGGCCTTCTCACTGCCCATCCCCCTCCACTTGCATCCACTCCTCTAGACCTCACCCTTCCCCATGGCCACCGGCCATGAGGGATGAGGGATGAGGATGGATAAGCCTGGGCAACCTGGGGACACCTGCAGGGCAGCTGCATCCAAGAGCACACCACCCGGCAAGGGGGAGGGGAAGACAGACAACACCCCTCACCTGAATTCAGCCCCCAGTCTGAGCAGAAGACCCCCACCCGACATTTCTTGTCCAACTCTAGGCAGGTGCCAAGTGGGCAAACCTGCCCATCCTAAGTGCACTGCCTGCAGACCCCAGCCTGGTCCAGCATTGCCAGTCACCAGGACAGAGCACTGCCGGGCAGGGAGCGGGGAGGACAACTCACTGATTCAAGCCAGGCTGGGGAGTTTGTGAAAATGTAGAAGCAAAAACCAAGCTTGTCACCTAACTTGAAATGATATGTCTGAGTAAGGTTTTATTTGCATTTACACTCTCAGTCAGCAAGGGTCCCGGTGCCAGCTGATCCCGCCTACCTGGGGCTGCCCTAAAACAGGACCTAAAGGGCAAGCACCGCACCACTCACTAGTAACTGGAAGAGGTAAAACAGCCAAAGTATCCTCAGGCTCCAGATAGGTCTCCCACTGGTTAGCGTGAGTTCTAACCTTGGTCTTCGGTCCTGGCTTTCATCTCAGAGCCCGTTATGTAACTAACCTCTATTCACCCTTCCATTTTTACACAAATCCTGCTCTCCTTCAGAACCTTCCTCCCAGGGGCGCCGATAAGCTATCTCCCTGGAACGAGTCTCATGTGTTTGGATTCTGACAAGCACAGCACTGCCTGGCGGCATGGTGAACAGACAGAGATGAGATCAGTGGATGATTTCAAAGCAAACACTGAGGAAATCCAAAAATAGACCGACGTTC